ATGAATAAACTTTGAAAGAGCAATGAACAGGAGGTTGTTTTACGAGAAAGTGCGCGATCATCAGCGACTTGTACCTGAAAAGTGCAATTTTGCAATCTCCCAGCAGAGAGTGCGGAATAACTTCACTTTTCTATCCTTTTTAGAACAGTTGCTTCACATAACCCTAGGCCCTAGGGACTTCTCGTCCTTTTTTCTATTTCCTGCATCGCATGCTGCTCTTTGCTCTCCATAGGGAAGTAGCCGGGCACCTGTTTTGGCGGCCGCTTCCGATCGACCACGCGAGCTGTTTTCAACGTTCGCGCCGCAATGACCGCTCGCTCCTCCGCTTCCTCATCGCGCTGCTGCTGCTCGTCGCGTTCGTTCTTCGCCGATATCGTCGCGCGTTCGCCCTCTCCGAGAGTGTCGGACGACGAACGACCATGGAGCAGTCGAAGAGCGAATCGATCTCCTCCACTGGCCAGTGTTCGTTTTTTTCCCGCTGCACTCAGCGTTTCGCACCGTCGTCCCCCGTGTGTGTGCGTGTTATGCGGGTCGCGCCCCGCCCGCCGCCGCTGCCCTCATCGCTCGGCTCTCGGGCGCTGCTACTGCTGCTGTTGCTGCTGGTGTGCCCCTGATATTAGCACCGACACCCGGTATTCGCCCGTCCGCTTTGCACGACCATGAGAAAAACTCGACTACGATCGGTCGAGGCGATTCCGTGTCTCGTCCACCACCACCACAACATCGTCCCCGTACAATCGGCTGCTGCCTATTTATCAACTGAGCATCTGTTTATTCTCATCGCCATTTTTTTCTTTTTGAATTAACGCCGCGCTCAACCTAGTCTCTTTCGATCCGTCGTGCATGTTTGCAGTGGTTGCACTTTTGCACTAGTCTTCTTAACCACTCACCCACATTTGTCGGATTGATTGAGGTACAAAGGAGGAACTTTGAAGTCCGCGATTGTGGAGAGTGTCCTTTTTGCTAGAGGAAGTGACTTTTATACCAGGAAATGAGAAGAAAACTCGTTGGTCATCCCAAACGCGTCACTATTGACAAACTGCATGCTTCATGAATGATGCAAGGATTAAGAACATAGAAATAAATTCCATGGCTAGGCTATCGATTTTCCCTTCATTTTTTGAATCCATGGCAGGGCGGGATCCAAAGGAAGGCAAGAGAGCTCTAGAAGTTCAATGTTCAAAGAATTTTGGAGTATTTCTCGCGTTGTAAGTTGTTCTGTACGATTGAGCTAATCATTTGATTCTATACTTAAACTACTTACACAAAAATCTGAAGATGTATAGTAGTTCGAGAAATCTTGAGGAACAATCTATATAGTTCTTTCGTACCCTTATCCATACAGTCACAGGAACAAGTTCTTGAGGGCCCGGCATGAGTCCGTTTCTAGGCTTTTTGAAAGCAAGTCCAACATCAATTTCGCAAAATTTTACGAAGTCCCCTTCGACCCTTTTCGAAAACGTCGACTAGAAAAACCGAATCGGACCCACAAAAACGATATCGCCTTTGCTTTTTCGCCCCGAAAACGAAGTCCAGCCTGCTTCCAAACAATTCTGTGCTAAGCCCTGGGAACAACTATACTGACCCCCAAAACTAAGCATATGGGTTCGTCTTTTTCGAAAGACTTTCAAAAGACTGGCAAATAAGTCGATTTAGAAGTTTGTTTTATTTTGAAATGCGCGTGCGGGTAGGGTTTTTTATATGCTAGATTTTAAGGTTATGATATCTTTTGTTTGGGCCACTTCATCCCAAGGGCTCCTCACAGGTGGCTTATAAGCAGGCTGAATATCGTCTTCGGAACAAAAAGCAAAGGGGATATCGTTTTTGTAGAAAACACACAATTTAGGTCACGTTTTTCTAGTCAACGTTTCGTTTTTTGAGGGTTTTTTTACGTTTATGGTTTAAGGTCAAAGGGAACATCGTAAAATTTTGAGAAAGTCAAGTGGGACTTCGTCCTTGCATTTTCGGAGACCCACCTCGTCGACCTGTTCATCTCGAAATAGTTTACAAAAATCCGATTCTCATTTTTTCACTTTGATCCTCAAGATTATTAATATCGCCTGTCCCTTGTCTGATAGCGGGCAAATAATAAAATTCCTCTTCATGACGATAGCATCTGGCTCCACTGCGCGAAAGACCTTCCTCTATTCCCCTTCCCATGACGTCATTACTATATTTCTAACGAATAGACGGAAACAAGTTGGGTGAGCAATCCTGACGCATTCCTGGCGTTCCCAGCCCAAATTCGTTTCCTGTCATATGTTTGATCTGTAGGGGCGTTGGCGCCAAAGCTGAGCGCCTCAGTGGCGCGCAATGGCGTTTTTTATGTTAAGCCAACAGATTGGTGTAATTTTAGCCGATCTGGTTTGAAGTAAGTGTACGAAACTGGTTTCACCTACCCTGGCTGGTTCTGATTCTGATGCGAAGAAACGTTACGCTTTTTTTTCTTGGGAACATTAGAGATTTTCTTGGGAACCGGTATGGCCAGCATTCCGGTTTGGTAGTAGGATTCCACAAGCGTTCGAAAAAGGCTTAGACTACGTCTGACGCTTGTAAATCAAATCCTGTTCGTATTTTTAGAGTTGCTTGTGCAAAGAGGATGTATATGCGCGGTTACGGTAGCGCCTGCGCACTAGATCCTTTTGTAGTTTGCACCCTTCAAATAATCCTTTCTTTCGCCCTAAAAGAAAGCAAGCTTTTTCTGATAATTTCCCACTGTTTGCCCAGACAATCCCTAGAATTCCTTCGAAGTTTTCTTTACAATGACATCATCATGTGATATTAGTCAGCATCCACATTGTCAGCTCTCCCATCACATGAGCACAGCTATGCGAACATGGCACGAGGCAGTACAACATGTGTTATTTTGATGGATTTCGACTATTTCGGGACATGAATGGGGGTAAATAGGCCTGGATATATTTGCACATATTTTTTGGAAACTCTCTCCCTGTAAAGCTTCAAAAATTGGTTGGTCTATGGAGCGTAATGTCTTCAACGCAGTAATACTCCCAAAAATGGAGTGTGTAGATTAGAAGAACGTCAATGAGAGCGAAACAATTTTTTGATCACATTCGAAAATTTGAAAGGATAATGTGTTTTCTGTATCTAGTAAGTAAACGGTTTCTTTCCTATTTTTGTATAAATTTCTGAACACAGCTATCAAATGCTATTCAAGGAGTGCAATCATTCTGCCTTCATAAACCAACAATTCAGTTTCAGACAGTTTATGGGAACTTCCGCAGGACAAAAATTATGCAGCAGTTCAACAAATTTTCTACTTTCACAGAAGTTTAAGTGTGGAAAATGGGAACTTTCGCAGGAAATTGACGCCATACTGATTGAAATCGGAAATCTCGGTAGCACCTCTACAAAGGGGTTCAGGAGGTTTGTTCCGTGAATGTCCAGCGGAAGTTCCCGTCAACTATCTGATGTGGGAGCAGATTCATGCAAAGAATCTATGATTTCGATTTTTCGATAGTTCGTTGAGTTGAGCTTACTTCAAAAATGTGGGCTCCAACTTTCTCTGTATAAACTGCTGACGTAGTCCAAGCCTCTATAAATTTTCAGAGCAATTGATTCGCAATTCTAATAACGCTTCATGTTTACTTCCTCCTATTCTTGATCACAATAATGTTGAGCTACCAATGATTCCGCCGATTTTCTGACCATTGATTTTCGTCCTCACGGAAACGTGCAAATTTTTCCTCTACCCACTCGAATGTGGACGGATGGACTCGTAAACGTGCATAAAGCGCCGAGTTATACAAAGTACAAATGCACTTTCCGGCACGCTCTGCTCAGCCAACAATCTTCCAATCTTTAGTCCCAGAATCCTTTTTGCGAAAAGACCTTCAGCAGGGTTATCAGAAAAATTCGCTATATTCTTTCTGGCTTTGAATATTTGAAAATTTCGAGGTTTGCAAATTTCTTATGCGGCTGCGCTTACCGGTGCAATCAAATGCATACATTGCAGAAGCTGTGAGAGCGTTAAAGTCACTCGTAAACTTTGTAGAAAGAAGTATAAACGCTCTCTAGCGCTTTTCTTAGTCTAACTGCAGTCTAGCTCACAATCCTCAAAGCTTTGGGAATGTGCATAGCCAGACGTTTCTTTTGCAGTGTAACCAAAAAACTTCCTCGTTTCGTTTTTTAGTCCCTCGTAAGTAGTCTGAATCGGCGTCTGCTGGCGCAGAGAGCGTGTACGCGGACGCTGGCGCGAAGTGGCGGCTGGCGGTGCCTGGTCGTGCGGGTGCTAGCGGTGCCGCCGCCACGCCCCGCCTTCCCCCGACGACGGCCCCCGTGCGTCGTCGACGCTGCAGTCGTCGGCCACACATCCGCTCGCGGGGCCTCCGCACCGACCCGTCGACGACGACGACGAGACGATCGCCACCATCATCGGGCTACCGTAACCTGGCCGTATGTGTGTGGTGTCGATGGTGGTTGCATCCACCTTCAACGGGTAACCTGACGTCGAAGCGTTCATTCATGGTCTTCGCTGTCATCCTAGAACGTCTGTATCTGCTTGCAGTGCTCACATCAACACCACGGCGAACGTGCAGCTTTTCCTCGGCACGTGACCGCCATCTGACTCTCGAATCCTAGCAGGAACTACGTAGGGCCCTTTTGGCGCACGCGTTCCTCCTCGCTTATAAGCGATTTTTTGCTATTCTCGCCTCGCTTTATTTCCATAGCGGATCAATAACAATTGCACTTTGCGATAACGCATAACTGTGCTCCCCCCGAAACATGAACAGATAAGCTGTTTTCACAAATCCCCGGTTTCACGAATTGTTCTTTTGCTTGTTAGACTCAGTAACAAAGCTTGAGTAGCCTGCTCCCTGAGACCTCAATTGCGACTGCTTGAAGATCGCGAATTGTGAGCTCAGGATACAGGCTCCATATGGCGGTTAGAACATTTTCAAACCAGAAAAGTTCATGTTTTAATGATTTGGAATATTTATCTAGTAGTCAGTTGATAATCATTGCTTATTTACAGAAGCCGAGATCGTCAAAGTACCGCAAGCTCCCAGCGAGGGTGAGGTGGATAATGTGAGCTTCCTCATTTCATTGTTGTTAAATACAATATTGTATATTGTTTGTTGATTGTTAAATTGATTGTTTATTGTTAAATACAATAAGTAGAACTGTAAAATGTCCTTCAAATGCAGGTTTCTCAATCTAGGCTTTAAGATAGAGTGATGGGTCGGATAGATGTCTGAGCTAAAGTTTTCGGATTTTTTTGGAGTCTGATTTTGGGATCGAATATCATTGTCTTTGTTGAATTTCCAATGGACTTTTGAAGCTTTCTCGAAACGATGTAGTTATTGACATTTAAAGCGTTTTCGAAACGAAACAGTAATCAAGATCTGTAATACTCTAATATTATTTGAGCCAGCCATTTTGATTTTAATCCAATTTGAGTAGAGAAGACTGTGAAGTCGTACTCGAGAGCCCTGTTTGAGAGCAGAATCCAGAAATTACTTCACATCCGAGACGATTTCAGACATTCTCTGGATTACACGTGTCTTACACGATATCTTTTTAGTGCAGCTATGCAGCCTATTCTAAAATTTTCAAAATGAGCAATTTTTACAAAAATTCTCTAATTCATTCACAATCAGCCATTCCTGCATCAATCACTTGAATTTTATAAATCTTCAATAATTCTTTGTGACTCAAACTTGCGTAAATATTTCACAACTTCTGAGACCAAGAATTCGTGAGTGTCACTATTCTTGTTTTTTATACAATATGACTCACTATTATAAATGACCTCAGTTTGCTTAGTCATAGATTCTAATGCTTTTGTGATGGCCTTCGTCGTTTCATAGTACTTTCGTTTTTCTCAGACCTAACCTCATCGATGATTCGCCACAGGAGCAAATTATAGACATAGACGAAGTGGTGTGAGAAATTTTCTCACCTGAAACGGGAAAAAGAAATTGTGCCTAAAAATTCTTTTACACACATTCAAGATTGATTTTATCTGGTGTTAAGTCACATCTTTGTAGAAAAATGGGAAGACTCGATGGGGCGGGCACCTCATCTACTTTTGGTTGTAATGTAGTGCTTTTTGTTTCTACGTTAATGGGACTGTTGGTTTTTGGGTGGCTGACTAACTATGAATCGAAAGAACCGAACAAGAAATACAGACGCTGAACCTCAAGAGTGTAATCCGCCCCCGCAGCAATCCCACGGTCATTTGTGATCTACAACCTCCCAAACGGCCAAATTCAACCTAATAAATTAGGTAAGATCTTAAAAATTCTTTAGCTTTATCACCTCCGAAATTATCATTTCGAAAGCCATCGGCGGCTGCCGATTGTGTCGGCCGGTGCTATTGATCCGACGACACACTACGGGGGCTGCGTCATACTGTGGTTTGCAGCGGTGGCTGGACGGCCGGCCGGCCGGCCAGGCATCCGGCTCCAACATGCGGCGCTGAGTCAGCAGCCGAGCCGCTACTGACCAGCACGGTGTCGTGGTGACCAGCGCCACCCTCGCCGACTACTAGGACAAGTGCTTGGGCGTTGTACTTCGAGACTGTGGAAACGGACGAGTTTACCGCTAAAGATGTATAGGATAGCCCACAACAAAACACCACACTTTCTCACTTTTAGATCTAGATAGGATCTAGTGTAGGTCCTAATGCGAAACATTGATTTGGAATAAACGTGTTATCAGAAAAAATTTGCATTTTCTTCCATATAAAAGGTCTTTCATTTCGGTTGCCTTGCACAGAAAGGCTCAGGCCCTTCTTGGTAAACCCATTAGTTTGAAAGACGCCTAAAAAATTTTTCGAAGGGCACCGTTTTACCTTGGAAAATTTCTGTCAGACCCTCCCCCCCCCCCAAAAAAAATTTCTTGGACTGCCACTGGTACTAAGTAGGATTGTGTGATAATATTTTATATCTATATATTATATTTTTACCTTGATAGGGTCTTGAAATTCACTGATTTTTTTTTCAAATCTGAAGGTACAAAATATAAGCTGCAGTCGTAAAGTTTCTTCTTGACAAAAATCTGCCTCGAGGGTTTCTAATTTTTTCATAACTTCGACTATCAAGACTTTATATTTTATAATATAGCAAAGAAGAGGAGAAGCTTCGCTCTTCGACAGTTGTACTCACCGGAAATGATTGAGTGTTTGTGGTCCTGTAACTACAGCTTGTTGAAAATTTTCGTTTTTCCCCTGAGCGGAAGCAGTGCGAAAACTTCTTGACAACTGATTTACACTGTTTGCTTGTTTATATTCTCTAAGCAGTGTGCTTGTTCCTGTGGGAATTCCATGACTCATAGTGTGCGAAAAAATTAGTGGAGGCCTCTGCTTATCGAATAACAGCGGAACATCGGCATAATCAACTAAATATTTGAAAGAAACACTTTTCGCTCATAAAATGAGCTTTTGTCAAGAAGTGCAGAAGCACTTGGAAAAAGTGAATCGCGTCTTTCAACTAATTTCATTTTGGGATATCATTCTAAATCGAGTATTGTCGTCACTTATTCTTTCTATGGAATTCTCTTGATAGTGTTTCTATTCATCGGAATAAATGAGCTCAGGATATTTTTGGTTATTTTAAGTTTAGATAATGCTGTAAGCGTCAAGGGAATGTCCAGTGCACGTGAGTTACACAAAAGAATGTTAGGGCTTTGATTTCATACTTCCTGCCAATGTTCAAAATCACAAGTGCAAGTGCAAAAGGCTAACCAGGATTATTTACGGATTTGGTAATTTCGTTCCAATTTTTTTTTGATTTTCAACTTTTTGAGGCCAAAGCGACAAACAATGTCGATGAAATTCTCTAAAACACAGAGGGGCTCATCTGCGCCACGAGTCCCTCGAAAATAGTTCTCCGAACCCCGCTCGACCCTAAACGACCCTGAGAAGTACAGCTGCACTCGATCGTGGCGTGTCAGCGCGCGCAGACATCATCCGTGCAGTTTTTGCAGCGCAAGAACGGTTCGGTTGATGGTCGCAAGCGGAATGTGGGCCGAACTTTGCGAGTTCTCTGATGATTTGAGTACGGTAGCGCCTTGCTTGTCTATGTTTATTCAAGGACCAATTGGCTCATGCGCGAATTCTGATCGAGATGTTAAAACAGTGCTTAAGAAGGCAATTATAGGGCATTCGAAAAATCGTGACGATGGCGCGACCGCGCGCGATACGCACGCACGTTCCGGCAACCGCATCTTCTTGGTTTCAATCTCTACTCTACTGTTTTCTCCGCTTAGGGATAATACTTGGACATTGGAAGAGACTGAGCTGAGCGTTGGAGTGAAGACTTTTTGTATGAGGATGTAAGGCTCCCGTGGGCGTAAAGACCGCAGTCAAATCCGTTGTCACGATTTCTAAATGTACCATACAGTAAATCTCAGTGGTAAATCAGTTCGCCCAAAATCGTTTTTTCGTTGCTCGTTTTCGGTATGGATAGAGCTTGCGGTCTTTCAATGAGACCGAAAACTTCCGATTTCAGAATTCTTGAAGTGGAAGTTAGTATCGCCAATGAATTCTCATAAAGTAGTCTTCCAATTTCGAACATCCCGCTTTACCATCTCGAACATGGTGCTGAAGCGGATACTGTAGATAGTTTTGATCACATAGCCTTTAAGGCATCCTTTCGTGTCAAAAATTCTGAAAGACAATGTAAAAATTCGGCAATACTTCTTTTACTTCTTCTCCATTTCAATAAAAAGTCCATTTCAGCCTTTTTAGCTACTTAACTTTTAGTTTCTGGATCTCGAAAGCTCTACTATCACGTCTGAAAGTGGTAAATTTTACTGTTCGAGTTTTCCATGCCTATATCTGGAAAAATGTATCTGTAACGTTCGAATACCATAAAACTGGGTCAAGGAGTCATCTACATATTACCAATTTCTGACTATTCAGTGTGTTACGTATGTTTATCCTGAATTTATGTAAAGCATTCTTCTGTTCCTGTTCCAACTAAGACGAACCTTTGGTACTACACACATGTGAATGGCATGTGTCAAATCGATAATCGATTAATCGGATACTTTTACAAGTGACGGTTAACCGAAATGAAAAGGTTGTGGAATTCCAAGCTACCTGCTTCAAAATGGTTTTGCTGCATTTTAAAAAAGTTTATGGACTGTTTACATCTCTTTTTTAGCTTTTTTTTTTGAAGTTTCCTATCTGGAGAGACTGATCTCTGTGAGGGGTCGCTATGAAATTGTGACGAGATTTCCAGAAGGCTTCACAATTCTATTTGTACACATGGCTCGTTTGGTTTCGTTCTCACATTCTAGCTTTGTACAGATCCTATAGCTTTTTTGACATTGGTGCCGTCATAGAGAGATGGTGGTACCAGGCGTATGTAGATGAATCGGTGCGAAATATGCAACATGTACGAGGTATTAACTTACGGTGCAGATATTGTAATCTCGTCTTCTTCTCGCTTTAGTAGAACTTTTGAACTTAAGGGGCCAAAATGTAAATAGTCAAGCAATTGAAATCAACCACTGCTCACACTGTGACGATTATCAATATATGGCAATGTGCTTCTTACTTCTTATTGAAAATCCTTATCCGCTTGTAGCAAATCCTTTGAAAAAGCTTTGATGCAGTTACGCTGTGTTTATGGACCACCCTTTCAGCTACATAGTCAACAAATAGCACCATATAAATTTATTATATAAAGAAAACTGAAATCTTTCGCTATAAGCTTATGCAGTTGACGATTTTCAAGCTACAGCCAGATTTACATGTACAAATCAGATTCCTCTTTTTTTTGGACCTAATAATTGGTTACTCCCTTCGTTTTGACTTTATTTTCGAGGTGAAACGGGAAAACGCAGAATTTTCGGAAGTGGTCTATATATGTATAATGTTGACTTTTGAAGTGATTTTTTTAATTTTTTAAAAATGCGAATTAGCCTTCAAAAAAATTCATGAGAGCTTTGTCGCACGGGTTCTTTCAGATTCCGGGGTTAAGACAACAAAAGGTAGGAGAATTTCCTAGGAATGCGGGATTGAATGGCTCATTCGTATCTTATTTTACAAAAAGTTCTATCTCCTTCTACGAAAAATTTTT